AGATATTGCAGGTTATTATATTAGGAGCGTGACCATTGCAACGCATCTCATAAACAAGATCTTTCACATGCGACATTCTCTTAGCTTTGCACAAGCCATCAATAAGAGAGCTGTAAGTGACTGTATCAGGCAGCAAATTTTTGAAGCGCATTTCATTAAACAGATCTAGGGCCTCATCCATCCTTCTTAATTTACAGTGTGCATTGATCAATATATTGTAACTCCAAACAGTAGGTGTCAAATCAGCTCTGATCATCTTATTGAACACGGCTACGGATTCGTTAACATCATTCCTCATGCAGTAGCCATTCATCAAAGAATTGAAGCTAACAACATCAGGTTTAACACAACATTTTATCATCTTAGCAACGACAGACTGAGCTTCTATGGTCCTCCCTCTTTTGCAAAATGCATCAATAAATATATTAAAGGTATGATGAGTTGGACTGATATCTTTCATGACTATTTCATTTAGCAACCTAATGGCTTCTTGCAATTGGTTGGTGTTAGAGAAACCACAGATTAAATTGTTGTAGATAACAATATCAGGAGATATTCCACGCCTGATCATTTCAGAACACAACTTAGATGCCTCACTTACTAGCCCTTCTTTACAAAGGCCATCAATGACTGCGCTGTATATAACGACATTCGGCAAAGTTTTAATTTTCCGTCCCCCCATCATTTGGAGCAACTTAACAGCACATCTTGTTTGTCCAGTTTTGCAAAGCCCATTAACTAAGGTAACATAAGTAACTGGGCTTAAGCAAAATCCCTTTGCCAACAAGTCATCGTGAAAGTCGAGTGCTTGCCCAACATCTTTCATGCAGAGTCCTTTCAACAACGTACTAACTGTTACGGTATCCGGTTGATATCCCCACTTGAAGATCTTCCCCAGTGAAGAGAAAGCAGAAGTGACGTCACCCACAAGACAGTAGCAATTGATCAAAATGTTCAGTGTAACTAAAGATGGTATGAATCCTTTCAATTCCGCCTGCGCAGAAAATAAGATAGCAGTGGTGCAGTGTTTGGTCTTTGCAAGTGATCCTAAAATCTTATTAATTTCGACAATGGAGGGCGGGGGACTCATGGAGAGCAAGCGATTGAACGAAGCTACGGAGTCTCCGAGGCTATTCGGGTTTGGGGAATTAGAATGAAAGCAAAATCGCAGACTGAGGAAGGAAGGGTGTGAGAGAAGGAAGGTAGGTCGAAAGAATCGTATAAAACGAGGAGATTTAGCGAAGACATACCTCGAACTCGAAGTGGCAGTTGAGAACATCTTCAGATGAGATTGGACGAACAAATGTTGGACGCCTGCTGATTTACCGAAGGGGAAATGCGACAAACATATGCGGATTGCTAGAAGTAGGGATTAGGGAATGGAATTTCAAATTTCAATTATTCTTTTTCAAATGGATCGGTTTCATTTTCTTTTCCAAAATAATTTTTTATAAAATTACTTTTAAAAACAAGTTTTAAAAATAAGAAGACAAAAAAATACGTTCCAATAATTGTTCTAACAAATTACATTTGAAAATAAATCAACGGAAAAGAAAGAGTTTCCCAATTTTCTCAAACAAAAAATAAAAAATGCAAAAAAAGTAAAAATTGTTTTTGTTTCTTAGTTTGTAAAAACAGGTTTTTTTAAAAACAGTTAACGATAAATAAATAGCCAAAAAATTTTGTTTTCAAAATAAGAAAACAAACAAGCCTATATATCATTTTGTATTTTAATCCTCTTGTCGGGTTAAAAGTGACAAATTATTTTTTTTAAAAAAAAGTCAAGATATTTAATTTAATATTCTTCCGATCCTAAATATAAAATCCCTTTTGTAATGTAAATTATATTACGAAAGGGGTTTTATATTTAGAACCGGATGAGTAGTTAATATATATTTTAATTTAGAGGTGGTGTGGGGTGGAATCAAGTCAAAAGGTTAATATGTTTTCGCTAACGTTCATTCTGATTTTAAGATTCCACCTCCATTAGCTTAGTGTTAATTCTTGAACTTTTATTTTGTAAATCGTTTTCTAATTATTGGAGAGAAAAACAGAAGGAGGGAAAAAATAAAATGAGGAAAAATAGAAATGTGAGAAAAGTTGGTTGATAGTATTATCCTTCTTCTGGTTGGACAGAGAAGAGAAAGAGAGGAGATAAAATACATGACATTTATAATGGGAATAATACGGTTATTTTTATTTTCAACTCATTTTTAAGTAACGTCAAGAGAAATAAACCATCAAATAAAAGGCTAAAGTCAAATTAAAATAAAATTATTTTATATATTTTATTGCAAAATCAAGATATTGAGAAAAACATTTCCTCAAAGAATAAAATAATAAAAAGAAGAGTTAAGGTGGATCCAACACCCCAAAATATTTTCTCATATATATCCAACACCCTAAAGTATTTTGTATGCATCTAGCACTCTGAAATATTTTTTAGGGGAACCCAGCACCCTGAATTTTTTTTTTTGCCTTGATGCTAGATGGACTAAAAAATATTTTTGGGTACTGGATATATCTAAAAAAAATACTTTGAAATGCAGGATGCACCTAAAAATATTTTATAATACTAGACGCACCTAAAAAAATACCTCAAAATATTAGATGCATCACAAAATATTTTAAGGTACTAGATGTATCTAAAAAAATATTTCGAGGTGATGGATACATCTTATTCCTAAAAAGAAAGTTAAAATAAAAATAGACATGTCAGAATAAGAATAATATCTTTATATCATGATTTATCAATATAAAAAAAAATTTTTTTTACAAAAACTCAAGCTCTTTTTATTTCATTATTAATTTATAATTTTAATATTATCATTATTATTATATGGGCTAATGTTATTTTTAGCCTCTCCTGTTTGATCTCATTTTTGTTTTATTCTTGATTTCAAGGGCAAAAACACTACTCCATGAACCAAAAATATTTAGACGGATCAAAATAAGGTCAAATTTTAAGAGTCAAACTACTGGTTTTAAATTTTAGAAACTGAAATAAAAAAATCAAATTTCAAAATATATTTATCCTAATAACTTTTATGAGAATTTTGTCAATATAAAAAGTATAAAATCACTGTACATTACCTTGTAATTAGAGTTCTGTTAAGCAAGCCCTTTCTTTTTTTTTTTTTTAAACCAGCGAAAGCCCAGTATAGTATGAACCTTTTAAAGACTGAAACTGCATAATATATGTACATACATGTACACATACGTATAATATGCACGTAATACTCAATAGATGAATGTTTTCAGTGGAATCGAGGCGTGGAGTGACCACAGGGCAGGCGAGGGTAGGGCAAGGAGCAATATACTAAATATTAGATATAAAAATCTTACTAAATATTTAAGAAAATGAAAAGAAGAGAGAAGAAAATGAATAAATATTTAAATGACAAATATACCCTTATCTCTATATTAAAATATGTTAAATATCACAATGAAATATATATATATATATTTTAATAAGTTATACATTCTTTGGGACTAAAATCTCTGCAAGTGAAAGACCAAAATCCTCTGTTTTCTTTTTTCCCCCGGGGGGGAGTGGGGACAGAATAATAGAATGAATTGCGACGTACGTACTTTTTCGATGGGAAAGCAGGCAGGCAGTTGTGTTATGCAAAAATTGACAATTCAACATTTACAATTTTTTTTTTTCAATAATCTTCAAAAACCATTATATTAATTAAGTGAAAGTGAAACTACAAAGCACACAGGAAATCAAAAGGGCTTTAATCAACCACGATTTGTGGTAAACGGTAATGAAAGTTGTAAAAATTAGTACCGCTATCCCCAGATGATAAAACAGAAAAGACAATCCCAATCTCATGAGACCATTCTTCTAACTCCTTCAATGATATCTCTTACCAGATGATCACAGCTAGTTTCCCCAGTAGCTTATTCTTTAACCCAATCTGCAGAAACTTGGCCTTTTCCTATGCCCTTTTCCCAGCATAAAGTCAGACCTGCGATAATCCCCTTAATTTCAGTTATTACAGGCATCAACTAACCCATCTGTTTTTAACCTTGAGTTTTTTTCAGTCACCAATCTCCATGAAACATCTTCATTGCAAGTACTAACCCTGTCGAATCATGAGTGGCGCCAAAATATCAATTTAGAGATACAAGCACGATTCAAAGCAACGAATACAAAATCTATTACCTGAGATTTCTCTGAAACACAACCAACCAACTTGGAACAAAATCATGGTGTGCTTACAGTGCTGCTGATAGTGTGACTATGAGAAACTCTATAAGGGGTCACGACACAATTATTTGTCAAGCCTGAAGAAAGATGCACACATCATAGGCACTAGTGTAATAATGAGTAATAGAGTATGAGGCTAGATCAATCCAGTTTCTTTATTCCTTTTTACTGAGCCATCCGCACAATATTTTTTAAAGAGCAGTCCTTACATGTATCATTGACAAACAAAATCATAAAAATTAAAATTCATCTCAAGAATCATAGAAATACATTATCAACCCTTCTTGCCCATGTTCTCAATATTATAACATGGTCTTCACTGTTCTAGATGCTATAAGGGTCTTTTCTTCAGGGAAGTAACAAATTTATAACACTCGACTCTAAATTGCAATTATAGGAAACAACAGTGGTACGTAGTGACTTGATTTTATGATTCTTAGAAGTAAGATCAATTATACAGTAATTTATTCATTAAAAGGATTAAAAAAACTTCAAAGCAGCATGTTGTGTTCAAAGAAACAATTAATTGTTGCATTAGTAGCATGTGGACGTAAGCAGGCACCAGGAACAGCATAGCATAGCCATGCAATCAGGCAAAGATTATTGTATGAATTATAAGTGCAACATGATGCATAATTCAGGAACAGAATAACAAAACACTGAGATGGTAAAATGAGGAATAATTCATTAACTTTTACCCAAAGTAAACAAGCATTTTGCAGCCACTTTTGAAAAATATCACTATTAACAAGTATAAGATAAGAATAGAGCATTTAACCTTGTATTATTGTTTAAGACGACCTGCATCTATCATTTCATGAATAATCAACTCTGCTTTATCATTCTCTTTTTTCATCAAAAGAGCTCCAACAAGTGTTCTAAATGTCACCAGATCAGCGAGGCAGCCATTCTCTTTCATTTTTGAAAGCAATGTCAATGCATCATCGAAAAGGCCTTCTTTGCAAAGTCCATTCATCATAATGCTGTAAGTATAGACATCTACATGATGACCTTCAGTCAGAAGCAATTCAAAGATCTCACGTGCCAAGTGCAACCTACCGCCTTTGCACAAACCATCGATTAGTATACTATATGTATGTACAGTAGGTTTCATTCCTTGACTGACAATTTGCTGATATAATGCAATCGCCTCATCAAGAAGTTTTGTTTTGCAAAATGCATCCAACAAGATATTGCAGGTTATTATATTAGGAGCGTGACCATTACAACGCATCTCATAAACAAGATCTTTCACATGTGACATTCTCTTAGCTTCGCACAAGCCATCAATAAGAGAGTTGTAAGTGACTGTATCAGGCATTAAATTCTTGCAGCGCATTTCCTTAAACAAATCTAGGGCTTCATCCATCCTTTTTAATTTACAGTGTGTATTGATCAATATATTGTAATTCCAAACAGTAGGTGTCAAATCAGCTCTGATCATCTTATTGAACACTGCTATGGACTCATTAACATCATTCCTCATACAGTAACCATTCATCAAAGAAGTAAAGGTAATAACACCAGGTTTTACACAACATTTCATCATCTCAGCAAATACAGATTGAGCTTCTATGATCCTTCTTTTTTTGCAAAATGCATCAATTAGTATATTAAAGATATGAGGAGGAGGAGTGATGTCTTTCATGACTATTTCATTTAGCAACCTAATGGCTTCTTGCAATTGGTTGGCGTTAGAGAAACCATGGATTAAAGTGGTGTAGGTAACAATGTCAGGAGATATTCCTCGCCTGATCATTTCAGAACACAACTTAGATGCCTCACTTACTAGCCCTTCTTTACAAAGGCCATCAATGATTGCGTTGTATATAACCACATCGGGCACAGTTTTAACTTTCCGTCCCCCCATCATTTGGAGCAACTTAACAGCACATCTTGTTTGTCCAGTTTTGCAAAGCCCATTAACTAAGGTACCATAAGTAACTGGGCTTAAGCAAAATCCTTTTGCCAACAAGTCATCGTGAAAGTCTAGGGCTTGCCCTACATCTTTCATGCAGAGTCCTTTCATCAACGTATTAACTGTTACCGTATCCGGTTGACATCCCCACTTGAAAATCTTCCCCAGTAAAGAAAAAGCAGAAGTCACGTCACACATGTGACAGTAGCAATTGATCAAAATGTTCAGTGTAACTAAAGATGGTTTGAATCCTTTCAATTCCGCCTGGGCATAAAGTGAGATAGCAGTGGTGCAGTGTTTGGTCTTTGCAAGTGATCCTAAAATCTTACTAATTTCGACAATGGAGGGCGGCGGACTCATGGAGAGCAAGCGATTGAACAACGCTACGGAATCTCGGAGGCTAATCGGGTTTGGGGAATTAGAATGGAAGCAAAATCGCAGACTGAGAAAGGAAGGGTGTGAAAGAAGGAAGGTAGATCGAAAGAATCGTATAAAGTGAGGAGATTTAGCGAAGACATACCTCGAAGTCGAAGTGGTAGTTGAGAACATCTGCAGATGAGATGGGATGAACAATGTGGGACGCATCAATGCTGATTCAGGGGAAATGCGAGAGACATATGCGGATTGTGACAAGTAGGAATTGGGAAACCGAACTGGGAAAATTGCACTAAGCTCCCAAATAACAGAATTAAATAAAAAAATATTTTAAAATTATCAAATTAATCTAAATTCTCAAAAACCTCAGATTTTATTTATTTAATTATCAAATTATATTTTTTTTAAAATATATATTTACAACTGAAAGAGTAGTTGTTCATAATGTAACAATTAACAATTATCATGATAAGTATTAATAATATGTTTTCCTAGTATATTATAAAAATGTAATGTATGAGTTGTTAATTGTGATAGTTGTTAATATTTACACTTTAAGTTATTAAGAACTACCATTTCAGTTATCAATGCATACTTTAAAAAATAGATAAGAACAATGTAGTAATTAAACAAATAAAATCTCTTATAATGAGATTTTTAGGATTTCATATTAATTTGGTAATTTTAATAAAAAAAATTTATATTTAATTCTTTCTAAAAGGAGTTTCGGTTCCTCTTCTGAAATTTGGATGGATCAGTTTCACGGGCAAATTCGATCCTCTTGTTGGGTTTTTCTTTTTTTAAAAAAAAAAAAAATCAATCGAGATATTTACTTCAACAATTTTACTCGTGCATCATCATTTAATAGTTAATACTATTATTTTAATATAAGTCTCAGTTAGTTAATTTAAAGAGATTAACAAATTTATGAAATTACTTAATTGCAACATATGTTGCATAATTTCTTTAAAATACTTATATAGATCATTAAATTATATATTAGTTGATAAATAAGATAATTAGCTTGGAAAAAAGTAATAAATATAAATAGTGTAAAATAATTTAGTAACTTTTTTAATTTTTTCAAATTAGTCAATTAAGATCATATTCAAGATCAAAATTAGTAGTGAATACTACATATGATCCTTAATACATAACTCAGTTAAATAATTTGAAAAATTAAATAATTTAAATAAATTATTTTAAAATATTATATTTATTATTTTTTTAAATAATTTGTTTGACTTATAAACTGATGTTATATAATTAAATAATTTCTCATTTTCTTAATTTTTTTCAAATTAATTAATTACGTATTATATTACGTATGAGAAGTATATTTTAATTAAAAGGTGGTATGGGTGCAATTACGTCAAAAGGTTAATATATTTTCGAAATCAAAATGTATTATATGCAAAAGTTCATTGTGATTTTAAGATTCTACCTCCATTAGCTTTGTGTCAATTCTTGAACTTGTTTTGTAAATTGTTTTTTAATGAATCGAGAGAAAATTAGAAGGAGAAGAAAATGAATGGAAGAGGAAAGTGAGGTGATAGGATACTATCCTTCTTCCATTTGGATAGAGAAGGGACAAGGGAGGAGACAAAATGCGTAACATTTACAGCGAAAATAATACCCTTATTTTATTTCCAACTCATTTTTTAAAGTAATGTAAAAAAAAAAGTAAACTCAAATAAAAAAAATGACACCATCAAATTAAAGACTGAAGTCAAATTAAAATAAAATTATTTTCTATACTTTATTTGAAAATGAACATATTGAGCAAAATATTCGCTCACAAACTAAAATAATAAAAAGAAAGTTAAAATAAAAGTAAACAAGTCACAATAACAATAATATTTTTCTATCATGATTTATTAATACCAAAATCATTTTTTTACCGAAAAAAGCCTCAAGCTCTTTTAATTTCATTAGTAATAGTAGTTATTGTTGTGGTCCTTGTTACTCTTACTATGTTATTGCTATTGCCATTGTTGCATGTTTTAATATTATTTTTATTTCCCAAAATTTGGTATCATTTTAGTTTGATATTTAAAATTTGATTTCATTTTGATTTCAAATTTTAGAGACCAAAATCATAAGTTTCAAATTCATGGACTAAAACTAAAATAATGTTAAATTTTACAAATTAAAGCTGGCATTTATCCTAATAATTTATATGAGAATTCTATCAATATAAAAAGGGAAAAATGACAAAAAGGTGAAAATTACAAAAATCTTAAATTAGGTATTTTTCACAAAAATATGTTGTTATTTATAAGTTAATTGTTGTTAAAACCTATTAAAGTATTATAACGAATCCTAATTTGGGTCGGATTTTACAATTTGCACAGTTTCTATTTGTCATCTTTCATATATGAATATTCATATATAAGGGACCCTAAAAATACCTTTGAATTTTAAAATTTTAAATCATTTTTGTTTACTACACTTTAATAACAAATGACTATATTTGAAAAGTAAATAACATCATATTTTTGGGATCATTTCTAATTTGGAGTTTTTAAGTTTTAGACGTTAAAGGTATTTTATTGAGATTTTTCTTATATATAAAGTCACTTTACTTTATAATTAAAGGCCAGTCAAAAAGCCCAGTATTATGAACCTTCTAAGAGACTAAAACTGCATAATAACATACACAATACTTGGGCTGTTTGGATGTTATAAGAAGTGCTTTTTAAAAACACTTTTTCACAAATCGAAATAAATTCTTTCATATATTTATTTCCTATACTGTAAAATTATTTTTAGAACTATAATTTGGTTTCCATCCAAACACCCCCTCAATAAGAAATCACTAGAAGACCATGAGGAAACAATAGATGAATGTTTTGAGGACAATGGGGCAGGTGAGGGTGGGGCAAGGAGCAAGTTTGGGAACTTTGCTTTTTCCCCGAAATCTATCCAAATATTAGGGAGAGAATTTGGGTAGAAAGACACATGAATCCTATTATATTTTTTTCCTCTCATTTTTCTCTTCTTTTTATTTTCTCATCTAATCCAAACTCAAAAAATAAAAATAAAAATAAAAATAAAAATCTATGTTCCCCTCTATTTTCCTTCTTACTTTTCTCCTCCCTCTAATTTTTGCTCCATCAAGCTAAGTTTAAAAATAAAAACTACAAAACCGTTTTGATGGGAAGAAAGATTGGAAGGAAACTAAATAGGAAGAGAGAAAATGTTAACATCTCTCATATTTAGATGGATGAGAGAAAAAAGAAAAAAAAAAGAAAATGAGTATATATTTGAATGATTGAAATACCCTCAGCTCTAAATTAAAGTAAATTAAAATATATTAAATATCACAATCAAAAAAATACTAATATATTATTATTAACAAAATCTATTTATTATATTGATATAACTTCATAAAAATATTACTTCTTAAGATAAGAAATAAAAAGTAAACAATTTTTTGCAGTTAAATATAGTAAAAAGATATAAATAAATTATACATTATTTAATGCTAGTAATAAATGATAAAAAGTTGATATGAAAATAAATTATATGTCTTCTGTGGGACTAAAAATCTCTGCAATTGAACGAGAAAATCCTCTTTGGAATAAAAAAACCAGAATCCTTCTCTGCAAAACAAATAAATTGTAATGTTTTTTCTTATTACTTTTTAAAAAATTTGTGCTTGAATAATGATGCCTTACCTTCCTTTTCCAACGTCTTTGATGACTTGCTATCATTATTAAACTTGCCAATATGAGTGAGACCTAATATAAATTAATACTTGACGTGACAAAGACCAACGCAAGAGCAGAGGTGAGATGTTCATTCCCCCCCCCCCCCTCATTTTCTCTTCATCCCTAAAAAGAAAAAAAAAAGTTGAAAAGAAAATAAGATGAATCACAATTTGGGGCCTGTTTGTTTTTGTTCTTTGTTTTCTTGTTTTCAAAACAATTTTATAAAATTGTTTCTTAGAACTATTTTTGAAAATAAAAAACAAAAGAATTTGTTTGGATAATAATTTTAAAAAATCATGTTTGAAAAAAAAATATAAAAAACCGTACTTGGTAAATGATAGTTGTCGCTGGCACTGGTAAGTAGTAGATAGTAAGTGAGAAGAGAAAGAGATTTCTCAAAATTTTTCAAAACAAAAATAAAAAACACAAAAGCAAAAACAATAAAACATGTAAAAGTTGTTTTGGTGTTTTAGTTTTTAAAAACATGTTACTGTTTTTTATTTTTTAAAACAGTCAACTAAAAACAAATTACCAAACAAAGTTTTTTGTTTTTCTGTTTTTAAAAACAAAAAATTATTTTCAAAATAAGAAACCAAACAAGCTCTTTATCCCATACTTTTCTCTCCTCTCGCTTTTCTTCCTGTACTCAAATAGGGAAAGCTCAGTTGTCCCCCTCAATTTCTTTTTTTCTCATCTTCTTTTCTCTTTCATTTTCTTTCCATCCAAAGAAGGGGAGAAAAGTTTATATTTAAAATTTGGCATGAGAAATGTGAGAAGTAAAACCTCAAATATTAATCATAGTGCTACACTTAATTACTTATTAAAACTGATATTTAAATCAGTTTGAGTTTGAGTTATTATTATTTGATAGTTAAATAATAGAATAAGTTTCAAATCATAATACAAAAAGTTTGTATTTATTAAATGGTATTGAACATAAACACATCTAGAATTACGAAATTGTTTTTACTCCTTCACTAATATTATTTTCTTTTTTTCGTCTAACTATTATTTTCTTTGGGTGCATGACCTCTGCATTTTTCATTAAAACAAATACATAAAATGGATTTGAAGAGACAAATAGGATATTGGGAACCAGGAAGGGGAAATTAGATCAAAGTGAAACTACAAAGTACAAAAGAAATCAAACGACCTTTCATCAACCACCGTTTCTAGTAAACGTTAATGAAAGTTGGGGGTAGCTGAAAGGAGCAAACAAATTAGGACCAATATCCCCAGCAAACTTTACTAAAGAAGCTGCACTATAATTATATTCCCTACAAATAAAACAGAACAGAACATCAACTGCAATAATCCAGATGATCACAGCTAGTTTCCCTCGTAGTTTATTACTTGGACCCCATCTGCAGAAACTTGGCCTTTTCCTATGCCCTTTTCCCAGCATAAAGTCCCCCAAGGCATCAACTGACCCATTTATTCCTAACTTGAAGAGTTTTTCAGCCACCAATCTCCATAAAACATCTTCATTTATTACCT